GGGGGGCGGCCGGTGGGGGGTTGAGGCAGTGGGGGGGGGTGTCAGGGACCCCTGCCCCATCCTGACAGCCCTCCCCGTGCCGCAGGCTCTTCCAGCGACGAGGAGGAGGATGACCCCGAGGCGGTGATGGTGGAGTTTGATGACGGGGACACGGGGCACATCGCCGTCTCCAACATCCGCCTCCTGCCCCCCGACTTCAAGATCCAGTGTGAGTGGGTCGGGGTAGGGGAGGGTCACGGGCAAGGGGTGGGCTATGGGGGGGGGGACAGTGGGGCTGGATCTGACCCCACTCTCTGCCCGCAGGCACCGAGCCGTCCCCCGCGCTGCTGGTCTCCAGCTCCTGCCGGCGAACAAAGCGGTCCTGCAGCGACGTGCCCCCTCCCAGCGAGCTGCCCCCCAGCCTCTGCCCCGACCGCCACGACGGCCCCGAGCCCCCCAAGAACTCGGGCAAGAAAGCGGCCAGCAAGGAGAAAAGTGGTACGGGGCGGGGGGCTGCCACCCACGGACCCCCTTCCCTTGGGGTGCCCGAGGGAGGCGGCACCGGCAGCGCTGGTGTGAGGGATGGCGGGAGGCAGGGAAGGGTGCTGGGATGAGGGGAAGGGTGCTGGGATTCAGGGATGGGTGCTGGGATGCAGGGAATGATGCTGGGATGCAGGGATGGGTGCTGGGAAGCAGGAAAGGGCACTGGGATGGGTGCTGGGATGAGGGGAAGGATGTGGGGATGCAGGGAAGGATGTTGGGATGCCAGGATGGCTGCTGGGATACACAGTAAGATGCTGGGATGCAGAGAAGGATGCTGGGATGCAAGGATGGGTGCTGGATGGCAGGAAAGGGTGCTGGGATGGGTGCTGGGATGAGGGGAAGGACGCTGGGATGCAGGGAAGGATGTTGGGATGCAGGAAAGGATGTTGGGATGCAGGAAAGGATGCTGGGATGAGGAGAAGGATGCTGGGATGCAGAAAAGGGTGCTGGGATACACAGAAAGATGCTGGGATGCAGGGAAGGATGTTGGGATGAAGGAAAGGGTGCTGGGATGAGGAGAAGGATGCTGGGATGCAGGGAAGGATGTTGAGATGGCACAGAAAGATGCTGGGATGCAGGGAAGGATGTTGGGATGAAGGAAAGGGTGCTGGGATGAGGAGAAGGATGCTGGGATGCAGGGAAGGATGTTGAGATGCAGGGATGGGTGCTGGGATGCAGGGAATGATGCTGGGATGCAGGAAAGGATGCTGGGATGCGGGAAAGGGTGCTGGGATGCGGGAAAGGGTGCTGGGATGCAGACATGGGGGAGGATAGACAGGGATGCAGGCAGGGATGCAGGCAGGGAGAAGGGATGTGGGGAAAGCTGGGATGCAGGGGGTTGGGAGTGGGGCAGGATGCAGGGAAGGCTGTGGGTCCAGGGACAGAGGAAGACGGTGGCACAGGGGGACTGGAGATCAGGCTGCAGGGAAGGATGTGCAGGGACAGGGATGGTCCCGGAGCATCCCTCCTTCCCTCTGTCCATCTGTCCGTCCTCCCTCCTGACCCCCCCGTCTCCCTCCAGGCAAAGCTGGGGAGGTGCTGTCGGGCGGCAAAGCGCCGGTGCTGAGTGACCCCTTCCTGGGCCGGCGCGGGGGTCCCCTGCTGAGCTGGTCGGCGGTGGCCCAGACGAAGCGGAAGGCGGCCAGCAAGGGCACGGCCGTCCTGCAGAACCTCTTCCAGGTCAACGGCAGCGCCAAGAAGCTGCGGGCCGCCAAAGAGGCCATCTTCCCCGTCCACCACCACCACCACCACCACCACCTCGCCGCCCCCGTCTTCGGCAACGGTTTCGGGGCCGACTCCTTCAGCCGCATCGCCAGCTCTTACGCCTCCTTCGGGGCCGGGGCCGGGTTGGTGCTACCGGCTGCCCAGAAACTCCTGCGCTCCAAAAAAGCGGAGCGGCTGGAGGCAGAGCTGGGCAAAAGCGGGCGGCGGAAGGCGGGCAGCGAGTACCTGGTCAAGCTGGACCACGAAGGGGTGACGTCCCCCAAGAACAAGAACTGCAAAGCCCTGCTGCTGGCGGAGAAGGACTTTGGGGCCAAGCTGGAGCGGCCGCTGGCCAGCCACGGCTATGCCCACGCGGCGCTGGCTGGCAAGGATAGGAAGGGACGGGCGCCCGTGCACCAGCTGCCCGTGGGGCTGGCGCTGCGGAAATACTCGGGCCAGGCCGAGTTCACCCTGAACTGCGACAGCGACTGCCACAGCTCCTACTCGGACATGGATGAGGACGAGGAGACGAGCGGGCTGGGGGCCGACGTGCCCTCCCGCTTTATGACCCGTCTCTCGGTTTCCTCCTCTTCCTCCGGCTCTTCCACCTCCTCCAGTTCCGGCTCCATCTCCACCTCCAGCCTCTGCTCCTCCGACAACGAGGATTCCTCCTACAGCTCCGAGGACGAGGACTCCACGCTGCTGCTCCAGACCTGCCTCTCCCACCCGGTGCCGGCGTTGTTGGCGCAGCCGGATGCCCTGCGCTCCAAGAGCGGGGCTCCCCAGCGCTGCTTCCTCACCAAGGCCGCCGCCGCCGGCCCCAAGGCCAAGCTCAAGCGCAAGGAGGCCCTCAGCTTCTCCAAAGCCAAAGAGTTCTCCCGGAGGCAGCGCCTGCCCTCGGTGGAAAACCGGCCAAAGATCTCCGCCTTCCTGCCCGCGCGCCAGCTCTGGAGGTGGTCGGGGAACCCCACGCAGGTATGGCAGCCACCAACACCCGCTGTGGGCACCCACTGCTCGGGGGGGAAGGAAGGGGGTATGGTCCTGGGGCAGGGGGCACAGGTGGAGGGGTGCAGGGGCATGGCAGGGGTGCACAGGACAGGGGGTGTGGGTGCAGGTGCATGGGGTGGGATGGGGTGCAGGGTGCATGCAACGGGGTGCATGGTTGCAGGGTGCGTGGTAGAATGCGTGGGTGCAGGTGGATGGGTGTACAGCAGGGTGCATGGGTGCAATGCAGGGTGCAGGGTGCATCAACATGAATGCATGGGTGCATGGTAGAATGCGTGGGTGCAGGTGGATGGGTGTGTAGCAGGGTGCATGGGTGCAATGCAGGGTGCCTGTGTGCACAGGGCAAGGTGCATGGTGCGGGGAACATGCAACGGGGTGCATGGGTGCAGGGTGCATGGGGTAGGGTGTGTGGTGCACAGGGCAAAGTGCATGAGGATGAGTGCATGGGTGTAGGGTGCATGTAACTGGGTGCAGGGTGCAGGGTAGAATGCATGGGTGTATAGCAGGGTGCATGGGTGCAGGGTGCATGGGGTAGGGTGTGTGGTGCACAGGTCAAGGTGCATGAGCATGAGTGCATGGGTGTAGGGTGCATGCAGCTGGGTGCAGGGTGCATGGTAGAACACATGGGTGTATAGCAGGGTGCATGGGTGCATGGCAGGGTGCACAGGGCATGAATGCATGGGACAGGGTGCAGGGTGCATGGTAGAATGCATGGGTGTATAGCAGGGTGCACGGGTGCAATGCAGGGTGCCTGTGTGCACAGAGCAAGGTGCATGAGCATGCAGCAGGGTACGTAGGGCATGGGCGTACGGCAGGATGCATTGGTGCAGGGTACATGGGTGCATGGCAAGGTGCCCGTGAGCACAGGGCAGGGTGCAGGGGTGCAGATGGATAGGTGGGGTGCACGGCAGGGTGCAGGGTGCATGGGTGTGTGTCAGCGTGCCTGTCAGCTCATGCACTTTGCCCTGTGCACACAGGCACCCTGCCATGCACCCTGATACACACCCATCCACCTGCACCCATGCATTCTATAATGCACCCTTGCACCCCATCCCATGCACCCTGCACCCATGCATTCATGTTGATGCACCATGCACCCTGCATTGCACCCATGGTGTGTGGATGCGGGGCAGGGTGGCACGGGGCAGGGTGGCACAGGGCAGGGTTGCAGAGGGCAGGGTGACACGGGGCAGGGTGACACAGGTCAGGGTGACATAGGGCATGGGGCAGGGTGCAGGGGCCATGGGTGTACGGCAGGGTGTTGAGGGGGTACAGGGCAGGGTGCCTGTGCACAGGGCAAGGGTGCGTGGGGCACGGACCTGGGTGCAGGGGGCACGGGGACAGTATTCACAGCAGGGCAAGGTGCCAGGGGTTGTGGGGCATGGGTGCAAGGGGCACAGTCCCTGGATACGTGGGGCACCTGAGTGCCGGTCTCTTCCAACCTCGACCATTCTATGATTCTATGTGCCATCTCTAACCCCCCCCGTTTCCCCCCCCCACCCCCACAGCGGCGGGGCATGAAGGGCAAGGCGCGGAAGCTGTTCTACAAGGCCATCGTGCGGGGCAAGGAGACGCTGCGCATCGGGGACTGCGCCGTCTTCCTCTCGGCCGGGCGCCCCAACCTGCCCTACATCGGCCGCATCGAGAGCATGTGGGAGTCCTGGGGCAGCAACATGGTGGTCAAGGTCAAGTGGTTCTACCACCCCGAGGAGACCAAGCTGGGCAAGAGGCAGAGCGACGGCAAGGTGAGGTGGTGGGACACGGGGATGGAGAGGGAGAGATAGGGGGAGGTGGCACATCAGCCATGGTGTTGGAAGGACCCAACTGGTGATGCCATGCCATGCCATCCCTTGCAGAACGCCCTGTACCAGTCGTGCCACGAGGACGAGAACGACGTGCAGACCATCTCCCACAAGTGCCAGGTGGTGGGCCGGGAGCACTACGAGCAGATGACCCGCAGTAAGAAGTACCAGGACAGGCAGGACCTCTACTACCTGGCGGGCACCTACGACCCCACCACGGGCCGGTTGGTGACCGC